TTATACTAAGTTAATCATCTTTCTTGCTTAAGAGACTTTTGTAAAGCTTGTCAAGACACATCTAATGGTGGTTAGAGTGTCAAAATCGGCCTGGTGAGTGCCAAGATATCTTTAAAAAACTTCTCTTTTACTATGTAAACTTCTTTGCAAACAATACTATTGTTTGTAAAGAAGTTTACATAGTAAAAGAGAGGTTTTTTAAAGATATCTTGGCACCTACCAGGCCAATTTGACGCTCTAACCACCATTAGATGCGTCTTGACAAGCTTTACAAAAGTCTCTTAAGCAAGAAAGATGATTAACATAGTATAAAAAAAGTTTACCTTGGACGATCGCCACATTCACACTATAGTAAATTTATATAGTAATCTTAGCACATTTTACTAAGATCATGCTTCTACTGAGTGGTGAATCATCTATTAAATAAGTTGTTCACACTTTCCTACTTAGTTTGAATTGGCATCATGAGCTTTGATAAGGCTTTTTTAATAAATTAGCTTTTTTTTTTTTGAATAAATTGTTCACACTTTTCTACTTGGTCCGAATTGGTGTCATGAGCTTTGATAAGACTTTTTTAATGAATCAGTTTCTTTTTTTTTGAATAAGTTATTCACACTTTCCACTTGGTTCGAACTATGCATCATAAGCTTCAGATAAGGCTTATTAATGAATTAGTTTCTTTTTTTTCAATAAGTTGTTCACACTTTTCCACTTGATTCGAATTGGTGTCATGAGCTTTGATAAGGCTTTTTTAATGAATCAGCTTTTTTTTTTTAAATAAATTGGTCACACTTTCCTACTTGGTTCGAATTGGCATCATGAGCTTTGATAAGGCTTTTTTAATGAATCAGGTTCTTTTTTTTTGAATAAGTCGTTCACACTTTCTACTTGGTTCGAATTACACGTCATAAGCTTTATTAAGGCTATTTCTTTTTTTTTGAATAAGTTGTTTACACTTTCCACTTGGTTCGAATTAGGTGTCATGAGCTTTGATAAGGCTATTTAATGAATTAGCTTTTTTTTTTTAAATAAGTTGTTCACACTTTCTTACTTGGTTCGAATTGGGCGTCATGAGCTTTGATAAGGCTTTTTTAATGAATCAGTTTCTTTTTTTTTTGAATAAGTCGTTCACACTTTTCACTTGGTTCGAATTATGCATCATAAGTTTTGTTAAGGCTATTTAATGAATCAGTTTCTTTTTTTTGAATAAGTTGTTACATTTTCCCACTTGGTTTGAATTGGCGTCATGAGCTTTGATAAGGCTTTTTTAATAAATCAGCTTTTTTTTTGAATAAGTTGTTCACACTTTCCCACTTGATTCAAATTGGGTGTTATAAGCTTCGGGTGAGGCTTATTAACAAATCAATTTCTTTTTTTTTGAATAAGTTGTTCACACTTTCCTACTTGGTTCAAATTGGGCGTCATTAACTTCAGCTGAGACTTTTTTAATGAATCAGTTTCTTTTTTTTTGAATAAGTTGTTCACACTTACTACTTGGTTCAAATTGGGCGTCATTAGCTTTGTTAAGGCTATTTAATGAATCGGCTCTTTTATTTTTTGAATATGTTGTTTACACTTTCCACTTGGTTCGAATTGGGTGTTATGAGCTTCGGGTGAGGCTTATTAATGAATCAGTTTTTTTTTTTTTAAATAAGTCATCTACACTTTCCTCTTGGTTAGAATTGGGCATTATTAGCTTCAGTGAGGCTATTTAATGAATCAGCTTTTTTTGAATAAGTTGTTTACACTTTCCACTTGGTTCGAATTACGTGTTATAAGCTTTGGTAAAGCTATTTAATGAATCAGCTTTTTTTTGAATAAGTTGTTTACACTTTCCACTTGGTTCGAATTACATATCATAAGCTTCTGGTGAGGCTTATTAATAAATCAGTTTCTTTTTTTTGAATAAGTTGTTCAAACTTTCCTACTTGGTTCGAATTACACATCATAAGCTTCGGGTGAGGCTTATTAACAAATCAGTTTCTTTTTTTTTTGAATAAGTTGTTCACACTTTCCTACTTGGTTTGAATTGGGCGTCATTAGCTTCAAATGAGGCTTATTAATGAATCAGGTTCTTTTTTTTTGAATAAGTTGTTCACATTTTTACACTTGGTTCGAATTGGGCGTCATGAGCTTTGATAAGGCTATTTAATGAATCAGCTTTTTTTTTTTTGAATAAGTTGTTTACACTTTTCCACTTGGTTCGAATTGGCTTCAGGTGAGGCTAATTTAATGAATTGGCTCTTTTATTTTTTGAATATGTTGTTCAACTTTCCACTTGGTTCGAATTATGCATCATTAGCTTTGGGTAAGGCTTATTTAATGAATTGGCCTTTTTTTGACTTGGTCAAATTAGGGCGTTATTAGCTTTTATAATTATTTAGAATTTATTAGATTAATTATTAAATTATTTAGTATTTATTAGATTAATTATTAAATTATAATATTATTTAAATATTGTTATTTTTTTAGATAGGAAATACATATTATTAATTTATATATATGTTGTTTATTAGATATAAAAATTAATTATATTAGAGTACATATTAGTGTATATATAATAATATAAAAATTTATAAATTAATTTTTCACCACCTCTTCATTAAAATAACCTGTAGTTTTCAAAGCATCAAGAAAACTTTTCCATAAATTATTTATATATTTTTTTTCCATATAAATTTGAATAAATAGTCTTTAATAGTATCTTTATTCCTATTTCTAGATAGAATTCGGAGTTTGATTCTGTTCCAGTGATCTTCAATGGTATTGGTATTAGTTCCGGTGATAGGTCTACAAAATTTTTAAAATGATTAATGATAAGGTGAGACAAATCCATTTCCTCTAGCCTTTGGTATCCTTTCCACAAATCTGTATACACAATCAACCTCATAGTCAGACATTTGTTTGATTGGCTAATATAAATCAATTGCCCAGATAACTACTTGATAACTTATTTATACACTTTAAAGTACTTTTTGATAATGTAAGTTTCACTAATAAAAAATCACCACAAAAGCCACTCCAAGCCTTAAACGAACGTTAATATTCACCGTGCAAAAGAATCTCAAAAAGATCTCACTTCTCATAAACTTTACTTAGAAGACAAAATATATCGCCGTCTATTGGGTGTGTGAAATTATACAGTAGAGTGAAGGTAACTGAAGACGTTTTTCATATAAACCTATTTTATTACGTTAGATTTAAATAAACTTTTATTTACAACTGTTTAATTTGAATAGGTACAAGCTCTTAGTAGTAGAAGCTCCGGGCTTAATGCTTAAATTTGTCAGTTCTTGTAGTGTGTTTGGATTTGTTAGCCGTAAATTAATAGTTAAATTTTGGTTTATATTCTTGTATAGATTCTTTAATGAGTTTGAGTTTATTAGTAATAAATATCACATTTACCCACTTTACATATACCTATCTATTCTCTTTCTTTAAAACTAAATAATAAATTCTTTTGTGTATATTTATTAGTTTGTAAGTTTCGTGAGGTTTTTTCATTTTCTAGTACTATAGTATAATTAAAAATTATGTATTTTGATTGGTTAATGATCACGGGAAATCACGGGTAGATCTACAAAAATTAACCAATCATACAAATGTCTGCCCATGACAATCAACCTGGGTAATACATGTTTTGATATAACTTCAAGTAGGGTTTCTGCTATCCTATTTGGCACAACTACTACAAAATACTTTTTTTCTCTGTTCTTTTTATACCACCTACAACCCAAACCTCTTTAACCCTATGCTCTCTGTGATATTTTCTTTTACCAAATTTTGATTTATCAATCTCGACAATCACATTTTCTCTATCTATAATAGTCATTTCTTCTTCTAATGTATCTATTACTAATTCTCTAAAATACTTCATATAATTGGTTATAGTATTGGGTGAATGTTTAGTCATAAGGATGATAGATGTGTAAGTACATTTGCAAAGCCAGAGATAGCCAATCAATAGAGTATCTAAACATGTAATATGAGTTTTAGCAAAGAAGGAATCTTTAAAAATTGAAACAGATGTACGGCAATCCTGTATTCCACATCTAAAAAGTAAGGCCTTACGGTTCATATTGCCTAATTTGCAAAGTAAACATTTTATAGGTTTATACAAAATATCTTAGTTAAATAAAAAATTAATGCAAATTTTTTCATCAAATAAGATAGGTTGAAGAGATTTTAATGAAAGAACAAAGGTTATAGAAGACGAAGACATTTTGGAAATTTTTTTACATTTTTTGAATAAAAGTTTACCCCCATATTTATAAAAATAACTTTAATGCACAAAACACCTTAAACATGAATTTATGCTATTTATTGATAAAATTTTATTTTTATTTACATAAATCATATATGCAAAATAAATAGTCAAATGATTAATCAACAAATTTTAATCAATTAACCCAATAATTTATGTTACAAGAATCTATCATTACAGTATAATATTTTTGTACACATAAATCAATTTAAAAAAATATTAATGAAATGCTTAAAGAAGGACCGTTAGATTATCGCTTTCCATCGTTACATGTCTAAAAAAGTATTTATCCTAAAATTTTAAATAAAACACTAAGTCAATATTATAGTTTAAATAAAATAGAAAATACAAATATTCTGATAAAAAAAGTTATATTAATATATACAAATATTGATACAACTGATTTGTTAATAAGCCTCACCTGAAGCTAATGACGCCCAATTCGAACCAAGTGGGAAAGTGTGAACAACTTATTCAAAAAAAAAGAAACTGATTCATTAATAAGCCTCACCTGAAGCTTATGATACATAATTCGAACCAAGTGGAAAAGTGTAAACAACTTATTCAAAAAAAAGAAACTGATTCATTAAATAGCCTTAACAAAGCTTATGATGTGTAGTTCGAACCAAGTGGAAAGTGTGAACAACTTATTCAAAAAAAAGCTGATTCATTAAGTAGCCTTATCAAAGCTCATGATGCCCAAGTGAAAAGTGTGAACAACTTATTCAAAAAAGAAACTGATTTATTAAATAAGCCTTATCAAAGCTCATGACACCCAATTCGAACCAAGTGAGAAAGTGTGAACAACTTATTCATAAAAAAAAGCTGATTCATTAAATAGCTTTAACAAAGCTCATGATACCCAATTCGAAACAAGTGGAAAGTGTGAACAACTTATTTATAAAAAAAAAAACTGATTCATTAAAAAAGCCTTATCAAAACTCATGACGTTCAATTCGAACCAAGTGGTAAGTGTGAACAACTTAACAAAAAAAAAAGAAACTGATTCATTAATAAACCCGAAGCTAATGATGCCCAATTTAAACCAAGTGGGAAAGTGTGAACAACTTATTCAAAAAAAAAAGCTAATTCATTAAATAGCCTTATCAAAAGCTCATGACGCCCAATTCAAACCAAGTAGAAAGTGTGAACAACTTATTTAAAAAAAAAAGCTGATTCATTAAATAAGCCTTACTGAAGCTAATAATGCCCAATTCAAACCAAGTAGAAAGTATGAACAACTTATTCAAAAAAAAAAAGAAACTGATTCATTAAATAGCCTTAGCAAAGCTCATGATGCCCAATTCGAATCAAGTGATAAGTGTGAACAATTTATTTAAAAAAAAAAGCTGATTCAGTAAATAACTTTAGGGAAATGCAGAAAATCACATAATTTTTTAGGGGGGAGGGGGGTTACCATTTTATCACATTCTATATATACATATATAATCAAATAGCCAATAATATTAAAGTATTTATTATATTAAAAATCATAATATTATATTAATATCCAGATTTGAATTACTCA